TCCTTTTTGTGTCTCTGATCCAGGCCCACCTTGTACATCTCTGCTGTTTTTGCCCAAAAAACAGCTGCAAAAATCTGTGCTACTCCCCTAAAGCACTCAGGCATCCCTAAAACCAGGGTCCTGCTGGGGAATGACCTCATATGAGCCTAACTCAGTCAAGGCTTGTCCAGTCAGAAAGCACCTACTGTGTGCCTCAGGCCTGGAGTATTCAGCAGCTGACAGGGTGCCAGGTCCTCACCTTGTCTGTGGATTCCTGGGGCCCTCTGTGAGATGGTGGAAGCTCTAAGCAGAGAGCCTCGAGCCCTCTCTGCTTCTGCTGACCCAGAGAACACTTCTCCATGCCCAAGGCAGAGCTGGTCACGGGGCTTGGCCCCTGCCTGAGGAGCCAGCTGTGTGAACTACATAAATCTTGGGACGATACTGAAGGTGCCAACTGCCTTAGTCCATCCTGGCTGCTATAATAAAAATATCATAAGCTGGGTGGCTCATAACAACATTTATTTTTCCCAGTTCTGGAAGTAAGAAATTCAAGTTCAGAGCGACAGCATGCTTAGGTCTGGCTGCTAACTTCTTGCTTTGTCCTCACACAATGGAAGGGGCAAGGGAGATTTCTCCAGCAGTTTTTGTATTTTACCTTTTTACATCTCAGTTGCACTGCGAGGCATGTGGAATCTTAGTCAACTGTTGTTTAGTTACTATGTCATGTCCGATTCTTTTGCAACCCCATGGGTTGTAGCCCACCACATTCCTCCGTCCATGAAATTCTCCAGGCAAGAATACTGGAGTGGGTTGGGGTTGCCAATTCCTTCTCCAGGGGATCTTCTCGACCCAGGGATTGAACCCGCGTCTCCTGCATTGGCAGGTGGATTCTTTATCACTGAGCCACCAGGGAAGCTTAGTTCCCTGACCAGGGATCAAACCCACACCCTCTGCATTGGAAGCCTGGAGTCTTAACCAGTGGACCACCAGGGAAGTCCCTCAGACAATTTTTATAACACTAATCCCACCCAAGAGGGCTCTGCCCTCATGACCTAATCATTTCACAGAGGCCCCCACCTCCAAATATCATCATCTTGGGGAAGTTAGGTTTCAACATATTATTTGAGGCCGGTGAGGGGGTAGGTGGAGGGAGGGGAGGGGCTTCACTTAGTCTATAGCAACAACTTTAATCAGAGGTGGGAAGTTGCAGCCATCACAACGACCACCACAGCTGAGCTGACATCAGGCAGAAGTCAAACTGTCAGCTGGGCAGAGGGGTCCATGGCAGGGAACACCTGGAGGGCACGGAGGGGTGACCAGAACCCAGTACTTGGCGGGGAGAGGTTTATCCTTGCCGGGCAGTCTTGCTATTCTGAGTTGGTATTAGAGAATGTGGGCAGTATTGGAAGGGATTTTGGAGGAAGTATTTGGAGGGATTCTGGGGGAAGTCTTCTTTCGGGGGGGGGGAGGGGTGTCTGGGTGTGTTTCTAGGTTATTTCCTCCCCACTCTCCTTGGATGCAAACGAAGCAGTTTGTGTCCAGGGGTCAGAGCAGGCAGGTCTGTGATGCACAGACATGGAGCGCATGCAGGGCTGTTCTCTGCAAGGAGGCAGCAGACTGACTAGACCCCAGGGCAGCCCAAACACAGGGCCCTGGAGAAGGACTTGGCATAAAGGGCGTGGCCCAATGAGATCCTGAGTTCCTGGCAGCACTCATCAGCCCAGTTCTTCCTGGGTTTTGAAACAAGAATGGAGAAGAGAGGCTTGCTACTGATAAGAGCACAGAAAGAAAAGAAGATTCAATTTCCGTAGGTTGCAAATACAAGGCCCTCACACTATCACACCTCTTCTCCTTGAGGGTGGGCATGGGGGCCCCTGCAGCTTCTGCTCCACAGGTAGGACAGGGCATTAATATGGGCACACCCGGGGGGCCCCAGGGGCCAGCACGGAAGTGTGGACAGAGACTGGAACACCGGAAGCCTGAAGGTCAAAGGCAGAATTCGAGCTGACCCCTACCCTCCTTTGTCTGCTCTCCTCCTCAGCTGCTGGGTAAGGGCAAGGAAGATACCCAGGAGTCTGCTCTGGGAAAGTGGGTGTGCCCATGTTTTAGTGGCAGGGGCACCACACCTGTGAACTCTGGCAGCCTGAGTCACCTCCCTGGGGCAGAGCAGGAGGGCTGAGGGCCTAGAAGTGCTCTGGGGAGGAGTAGGGGGTGGGGAGAGACCAAAGCTTCTCTGATGAAAAGCCAAAGGCACTTAAGTGGACTAGGTGCTGGAGCCAGAGATACGAGGACAGAAAGGGGGGCCTGGATTCTCAGGCCAAGGAGGTCAGGAGCTGCAGCTAGCACCTCAGTCAGGCAGGGAGGGCCTGGATTATGCAGAATGGCTGCAGACTGGGGCTTGACAGCCAGGGAGGGAGTGGAACAGGGCAGAGTGGCTCAGTTGTGGCTTCCCCAAGAAAGACAGCCCTCTCCAGGCTGGGGACTGGCAGGTTGCAGGTGTATACTGCCTGAGTCCTTAGCCTGATGAAACTCTGCCCTGGGAGGGAGGGAGAGAGGGGTTGGCCTTGACTCAGCTGCTCAGACAGTCCTAGCCGTGACCTGAAGCAAGGTCTGGAGCTGTGGTCACGGACCAAAGACCTTCTCCAAGGGATGGAGACTCTGGACACAGGGTGTAGCCAGGCCCATGAATCTCTGAAGCTGGTCCTTGGATAGCCTGGACTTGGCACAGTTTTTCTATAGCCTCGGGGCAAATGGGCTGGCTGTGGGCCCAGATCTGGCCAGACTTGATGGGACCCTAAGAAGCAACAGCCTGTACCCGAAACCCAACTCTAGAATCTGGGCTAGCCCACCTGTCTTGAGTACCCCATCTTCCTTGGCTTCCAGCATTCAAGGGTCCCCTATACTTTCCAGAGTTTCTTCCCGCAATAGCCCAATCCAAGTTTCCCCTGAGGAGAGGGGCTGCAGGTCAATCAATCCCTAGTCAGTGCCACACTGGTGTAGGGCCATGGTCTGGGCCCCCAGTGTAGACCCTGAAAGGTGAAAGGTGTTAGTCGCTCAGTTGTGTCCCACTCTTCGCAACCCCATGGACTGTAGCCTGCCAGGCTCCTCTGTCCACGGAATTCTCCAGGCAAGAATACTGGAGTGGGTTGCCATTCTCTTCTCCTGGGGATCTTCCCGACCCAGGGATTGAACCAGGGTCTCTGGCATTGCAGGTGGATTCCTTACCATCAAAGCCCCCAGGGAAGCCCCAAAGACCCTGGGCAGCAGGTACTCATTCAGCTGGGAGAGGAGGGGGATGATGGAGGAGCAGAAGCAAAGCAGAGAACAAAGACCCTCGGACCACAGGTTCCAGTGCCCCAGCTCCTATCTATCTAAGATGCCAAATCACAATACCTAGCTACCAAATCCCAGTTTGGTCCCTGATTGCTTTCTGTTCAGATATGCCATTTCTAAGTAGATTATTAACTCCTGGGGGGTGGGTCTGTGACTTGCAATTCTTCGGTATTCCACTCCAGAGAATGGCAGGTGGGTGCAAACGGCACTCTCTGGCCAGTACCTAGAGGCAGGCTGAGGGACATTTCCCACCAGCAGGAGTCTTCAAATAAGCCCCTGCCTGTCTGCCTGTGTGAATCAGGGGCAGGGTGGTGGAGCTGGACTGGGCATGGCCTGGGCTCCCCGCTCTGCCTCCTGCCAGGGCCTGGCTCCCTGCTGCTTTCCCTGGCCAGGCCGTAGAGGGAGGGCAGAGCAGGTGGGGAACTGGCTGGGAGGTGTAACTTGAGCTGGGAGGAATTCCCTGCCCTTCCTCCGAGCTTTTATTAAAGTAGGGCGGGGAAGGGCAGGCTTCTATCGGAAAAAACTCCCAGGCAGCCGGGGAGGTGGGGAAGTCGCGGGGCAGGGCGGGTTGGGGGCGGGGGGGGGGGGGGGGCGGTGCAGGGAGGGAGCACCGGCCTGGCTGCAAATAGAAACGGCACTCAGGCCCGTAACCCCTGCTGCGGGAGGCTCCAGGCTGGCCCAAGGGCACCGAGGCCCAAGCCTACCAGGGACGTGCAGAGAAGGGTGTCTCCTCCACTAGGCACCCAAACCTCATCTCTTCTCTGGGGCAGGAAGCAGCGTTTTAGGTGTCGGAGAAAAAAACCTCTTCGCTTTTGCTCTGACTCAGTGGAGCTAGTGCCCCTCACTGTCCCTAGTCCGGAGGACAGCGCTCGGCGACCCCGCGGAGCCGGAGGCGCTGGCTGGACTCAGCTCTACGCCAGGAGGCCCCGCCTAATCATACATTATACACTGGACCGATCCAGAGATGAGTCCCCATAGGGACGTCAGGCGGGCTCCTGGTGAAAAGATGTTCGGAGTCCACCCTCCTAGACCCGGGCCTTGGCCGTAGGGGCGCCGGTGGAGGAAGCGCCGGGTGAGATCCGGTTTCCCTCTTGATCCCATCTGGTGGTGGCACGACTTGCGCGCAAGAGTCCGAGAAAGTCGCCAAAGCGCCCCCTCAACCCTGATCGGCTGCCTCGGAGGTTCGCACCCCTTCCCCCTACCCCAGCGCGCCGCAAGCGCCTCAGTGTCACCAAACTCTCAGGCGGGAGCGCTGCTGCTGTGCTCAAGGTCCCCACCCCCACCCCGGTCCCCAGAGCAGCCCCCTCTCGGTTAGCAAAGAACGTCACCGCGCGTCTGCAGGGCTCTCGAGGAATCGGGCGTCCGGAAGGGAAGGGAGAGGAGTAGGGGCTGGGGGCCGCAGAAGCAGCTCCCGGGAGGCGGGTTGCGAAGGATCAGTGTCCAGGACAGGGCTGGAGGAGTAGAGAGTGGGGTCAAGCCCTACACCCTCCAGGGTTTGTGAAGAGGTGCACCGCCAAGGGCCAGCTGGAGAGGGTCAGCTGGCCCGGTCCCCTTCTTCCCCGCCCCCAACTCCGGGACAGGGGCTCATCTCTGCGCGCTTCCCCTCCACGCTCCAAGCTGCGGGCGTGGCTTCCTCCCCACCCTCAAGTTCTCCAACCCCCGGCAAAGCGGCTGGCGAGGGTCCTTACCTCGGCATTGACTTCGGCGTCCTCCGCCACTGCGCCGCGGCCCAGGCAGCTCAGAAGCACCAGCAGCAGCGGCAGCAGTTGCGGCCGCGCAGCCGCCTCCCGGCCGCCGAGGAGACTGCCCGCCCAGCCCGGCCGTCCGGGCGCGCTCCGGTCACTGCCCATGCCCGCGGGGCTCGCCCGCTTGCAGGCGCAGGGTCCCCGCACGCGGCTCGGAACTTGCGACGCTCCCTGGCTCCCCGCCCGAACCTCGGCAAATTCCCACGGCCGAGGAGAAGCGGGCCGGGCAGGTCCGGGCGCGCGGAGCCGGCCCACTAGGGAGAGGGCGGGCCGCAGCCGCCCGCCGCGGAGTCCTGCAGCCTCGGCGCCCGGGGCCCGGCGGAGAGCAAGCGCAACTCCGGAGCCTTTGTCTGCCTCAGCGCTCCGGCCGCCCGATCCCGCGGCGTGCCCTGCGCGCCCAGCTCCTTCTGTCCATGTTGGGGGGCAGGCGCTGCCGGGAGCGCGCGCCTCCCGCCGGTGAACCCTGCTCGCCCCGCGTCCGACCCGGCCCGGGGAACCGGGCAGCCTAAGAATGAGGCGCAGGGCGCGGGTCGGAGCGAGTGAGCTAGCCAGGGATCCGGCGCCCGAGGTTCCCGGCGAATTCCGCGCAGCTCCCGGCGCTCCCGGCGCTCCCGGCCCTCCTCCCCTCGATCCCCTACCGCCGCTCTTAAAGGGCCAGCGCTCCAGTGGCGGACGGGCACGGGCGGGGGCCGGGGGCGGTACCTCAGCCCGAGGTTTCTAGGTAGCAGGTGCCGGCGGTGGAGCGGGACCGGCGGCCCCTTTTACTCTTCCGGGACGGCGGGAATCCTCTCCAGCCCGCCCCCCGCCACTCCCATCCTTGCTTTGGGGGAGCCCGACTGACCGCCCCCCAAAGCGGCCCGCCCCACAGAGGGAGGGGCAAGGAGGAATGAAGATGCCTCTTTCTCCCGCCTACTGCGTGGGTGGGGATAAACTGAGGCAGCGAGGTCTGGAAGCTGGCCCTTGGAAGGGGATCCAAGTATCTGGTCTTAGGCTGGGAAAAAAAAAAAACAACAAAAACCCAGAGATTGGTTGGCCTAAGGCCTCTTTTCAAAAGCCTCGGGGTATCTGGCCCTTTCAGGACTCTTCTCGTTGCCCAGTGAGGCGTTGGGTACCTTGGATGCCCTGCGACAGAGATGAGGTTGCTGTCCTGGGTGGCTACAAACGTGCAGCATGGAGATGGGCAAGTTACTTAACTTTTCTGAACCGCCAAGTCCTTATCTGGAACGCGGGGAGAAGGGCTGGGGTGGGCAGTTAAGATATGCTTCCGGCTCCAGGCCTAGCACACGTTGGGTGTCCAAGCAAAAAACATTGTTTTGTACAAACTAAATGTGACAGTGCAGCCCCACAGGGTGCTGGGCGGGTGGGCAAAACTGCCCGCAGAGCGGACTTCAAAGTGCAGGTCCCTGGTGTTTCAGATGGTAACGAATCTGCCTGCAATGCGGGAGACCCGGGCTCGATGCCTGGGTTGGGAAGATCCCCTGGAGAAGGGCATGGCAACCCACTCCAGTACTCCTGCCTGGAGAATTCCAGGGACACAGGAGCCTTGGCGGGCTACAGTCCATGGGGTTACCAAGAGTCCGACACGACTGAATTACTTTCACTTACTTCTATTCCAAGATCCATCTAAGGATCTGGTTGGTTTGGCTGCTGAAGGCGAGAGGTGGGAGGCCTGGTGTGGAAGATTCACAAAGGTAACCTTCCAGACCAAGGGAAGTCCCGACCAGCCGAACTGGCGTCAGGTCAGGAGGTGATGTCGCCTGCGGGAGGGCAGGAGGGCGGAGGCCTTGCTGGAGCCGCCTCTCAGCCCCGGAAATGGGAGCTTTACCTGAGGGCAGGTTTTGGTAGAGTAAGCCCTCCAGGTCGACGGCCTGGAAATCCGCAGAGATCTGGCAGGGCTTCAGAAAAGCCCTGTCCACCGACCTGCCAGGTGAAGACAAAGAGCAATGTTTGTTTGTTTGTTTGTTTTCTTTTTAAAATGGCCTTGTTTTCACTTCAGATTGGATTGGGAGGGGTTAATCTTTTTTTAATTTTTTTGGTTGCACTGGGGCATCCTTGTTGCTTGGCTTTCTCTATTTTTTGCGGGGGGAGTGGGGAGGGGGGTGGGGGCTACTCTCCACTTTTGGTGCACAGGCTTCTCATTGCAGTGGCTTCTGCTATTGCAGAGCACAGGTTCTAGGTGCATGGGCTTCAGTAGTTGCAGCAGGGCTCAGTAGTTGTGGCTCCTGGGCCTTGAGCATGCAGGCTTCAGTTGTTGCAGCACTCAGGGTCAGTAGTTGTAGCAGACTGGCTTAGTTGCTCCGCAGTGTTAACTTAAAAAATAGTCACAGCCCGAAAGTTGAGAGTTATGTTTTATTTGGTGGGAATTTTTAGGACTTAAAGCCTGGGAGACAGCATCTCAAGTGACCCTGAGAGAACAGGTCTGAGGAGGGGGGTGGTGTGAAGGTGTGTGTGTGTGGGGGGAATCAGGTTATATAGAAGTTTGCAACAGGGCAGGTAGTCTGACCATATAAAGATTATTGTTAATTAAGTAAAACCAGATATTTCAACTTAAGGGATTTAGCACTTTTCTATGTAGGGGAGGATGTAAGAGTCTAGGGTCACTGAAATCTTTCCTTTCAGATGCATCTCAGCTATCTGGGGGTCAATATCCTTAGTTCCTCAAGGCTCACCATAGGGAGTGACTGCAGCCTAAGGGCTGCCAGATTATAGGTACTGTTCTTCCTGGGTGCCCTTGTAGCTCAGAAATTAACATCTGGAGGGACAGAATCGCTGATGGCTGGGACATCCTTGTTTACTGATATGGCAGGGAAATACTCCATTTCTCAGCAGCATGTGAAATCTTTCCGGACCAGGGATTGAACCCATGTCCCCTGCATTGGCAGGTGGATTCTTATCTGTTGCATTACCAGGGAAGTCCAGAAAAGAGCACTGTTAAAGAGAACAGGCAGAAGTTAAAATGGCCAAGACAGATTTTATTAAAAAAAAAAAAAAAGATTGCAATAGAGACTTGGATATAGAACTGGGCCTGATTCAAAATACAACCAGAACAAGTGGGGATTTAGTGCCAAGGAGCAAGTGGCGGGGTGGGGCAGCTTTGGTGGATGGAAAATTACTAAGAAGAGTTATCAAGTCTTTGGGGGCCATTCTGGCTGAAGGCAGGTGAGGGTGAGCACATATCCCCAGGGTAGAGTGGGGATGCTGAGTTTGATCAGGTGTCAAGGGTGGGGTATTCAGGTAAACTGACTTAGCAAGATTCTTGCTAAAGCTGGATTCAAGTACAGGGATGGGCCTTGATCGGGGGAATAGTCAAAGGAGCCTGACTAAGCGAGAGTTGGGTTAAGCAGAGAGTCTTTGTCAGTACCCCCTCTTGTTCAAGGGAAGGAGAGGCATTCTTCTTTCCTCTGATCAATATATTAATACATTCATTTCTCATTTGGTTGCTTTTTATTCATTTAGAACCAGCTGAATCATCTGTTGAGACTTGATGAGGGTTGATAATTGCTGTGCTGTGAGATCCAGGCATTTGATGAGAGGAACACCTTGAAGATAAATAGAAAGATGAAGACTAGAGGCCGAATTGGTCCTGTGCCCGACTTCGTAGGCCTTCAGGGATCCTCCAGAAGAAGTCCCCAGACCTGTTGTCCTTCCTCAGTGGGTGGTGATGGAAGTGATGCATGCACTTCATTCATGTCTCAAACCTTCCTGGTTAAGGCAGAGATTTCATGTAGATTGCCAAGGACAAAGATGCAGCAGTTGCTTCTGACCACTGTGCACGTGCCCTCTTCCTTGGGTCATATCAAGGCTGATGCAGTTATGGAGAACAGCGTGCTGGGTTTCTCCTCCTTGGTGAGTCACTGATTTGAGGCCAGTGGAGATGTTATCTGAGGACAAGTTGAATTGCTTCAGCAACGAGCAGGTTCTGTTGTTGAGTCTAACCTCTTGAGCCAGATGATAGATTCCTGGGAATGGTACCCAAAAGGTGGCAAACCTTTGCCACCAAATAGTACTGAGGTCATGGATGGATTGAATGTAGGCTCAATTCTATAACTTTTTTTCTAAATTGCTCCCCCAGAACCAAGATCATCTACAAGGGTATCTGTAGATGGTGATGTAGATGATGTCCTGAATACCTTTTGTTCCTATAGTGGGAGGAAATGAAACTGAAAGAATGATGACTGTTTTAGAGATAGTTTAAGAGAGGAAGGAGATGGTGGGAAATAGAGTAAGATGAGGGGATGGGTGAGATTGTCAAGGTAACAGTATCTGGCCCAGATGGAAGGTAACAGCCAATAAGCATGGGTTCCATGGACAAAATAAGAATCATCTGGAGTTAGGTAGGGGCTATAGAGATAGTTATTTGATGGCTGAAGGTAACCAAAGGATGCTAAATTTGGGTGGGGAAAGGGTTTGTTTGAAGGTAGTCCTCCTGTGGTTGATCTGGGTCTCAGCAATTAGTCTGGGAGGGGCAATGGGATCGTTTACACTTGTATGAGGGATGTGCGGAGTTCCTGTAGTGGCTTGGGGGTTTTATGTTGTACAGTATATCCTTGCAGCTTATTTGATAGCTAATAGTGTGTACCCCTACCTGTATACTGCCCTTCCCCCTTTCCTCTCCCCCTGCCCCATAACCACTAATTTGTTCTCTTTATCTGTGAATTTGCATCCTTTTTGTTATATCACTAGTTTGTTGTATTTTTTTAGATTTCATATGTGAGTGATATACAGTGTTTGTCTTTGATTTATTTCACTTAGCATAATACCCTCCAAATCCATCCATGTTGCTGAAATAGCAAAATTTCATCCTTTCTTATGGCCTAGCGGCATTCTATTAAATATATATATCACATTTTCTTTATCCATTCATCTGTTGATAGACATCTAGGTTGCTTCCCTATCTTTGGCTATTGTAAAAAATGCTGCTATGAATGTTGGGGTGCACATATCTTTTCAAATAAGTGTTTTTTTTTCAGGTATATATACCCAGGAGTGGAATTGCTGGGTCATATGGTAGTTCTATTTTTAGACTTTTGAGAAACCTCCATACCATTTTTCATAATGGCTGTACCAATTTCCATTTCCCCCAACAGTGTGCAAGCGTTCCCTTTTCTCTGCATCCTTGCCAACATTTGTTCTCCGTGTTCTTTTTGATGATAGTCATTCCGATCAGTGTGAGGTGATACCTCCTTGTGGTTTTCTCACCTTTTTTTTTTCTTTTTGGCTGTGTCACATGGCTTGTGGGATCAGAGCTCCCTGATCAGTAGTTGTACCCAGGCCCTGGCAGTGAAAGTGCTGAGTCCTAACCACTGAAGCATCAGGGAACTCCTCCCTTGTTTTTTTCATTGTTTGTTGAAAATTATTTATTTTTGGCCATGCTGGGTCTTCGTTGCTGCTCAGACTTTTCTCGAGTTGCGGTGTGTGGGCTTCTCACTGTAGTGGCTTCTCTTGTTGCAGAGCACGGGCTCTAGGCACATGGACTTCAGTACTTGCGACACAGTGGTTCATTGGTTGTGGCTTGCAGGCCCTAGAATGCGGGCTCAGTAGTTGTGGATCGTGGGGTTAATTGCCCTTGGCATGTGGAATCTTCCCAGACCAGGGATCGAACTTGTGTCCCTTGCATTGGGCAGGTGGATTCTTGTCCACTGGATCACCAGGGAAGTCCTTTTCATTGTGATTTTGGTTTACATTTCCCTGATGATTAGCGATACTGAGCATCTTTTCATGTGTCTGTTGGCCATCTGCCTTTCCTCTTTGGAAAAAATATTCAGTTCTTCTGTCCATTAAAAAAAATCAGGTTGTTTGTGTTTTTGATGTTGAGTTATATGAGCTGCTTATATGTGACTCTTATATTTCTTTAGTTATGAAACACAACTCTAGTGTTGAACACCCAGTGATTTGACAGCAGTGTTAGCGATGAGTAAAGTGGTGTAATAATCTGGAGACTTCTAGGCTCGAGATTGGTTTTCTTGACAGTGGCATTTCTAGAAGACTAGACTGCTTATTGTAGTCACATGAAGGTTAATCAGGAAGTTCTAAAGGGAAGGCAGTCAACGGAACCTTGACTTGTTGATTTAGGATCAAGTGTGTTTTGTTGATTCTTGACAGTATCTAAGGATGTCACATTGAATAAAGTTAGAATCTTCCACTAGTCAAGATGAATAAGGCGTCCCCAAAGCCTTCCTGTGATTGTTTCATAAGGGGATAGCTTGGAACTTCCCTGGTGGCCCAGTGGCTAGGACTCTGTGCTCCCAGTGAAGGGGGCCTGGGTTCAGTCTCTGGTCAGGAAACTAGATCCCACATGCCTCACAGCTAAGGATCCCACATGCCACAACTGAAAGATATTGCTGCAACTCAAGAAACCACGTATTGTAACTGAGTCCCGGCACCGTTGAATAAATAAATAATTAAAAATGATAAATATTTTTTTTAAAAGAGAGATAGCTTGCCTGAAGATAGGGGTGACGATGTGAGAGTCCTGAGAACAAGGGACAGGGCTTGTGCCCGAGTAAGCCCAGTCCTTTGGACAGTGGAGCCAGTCTGCCTTGAGGATGGCATTTCTATGCTCTTTCTATGGCACTCGATGGCTGAGGATGCTAAGGACAGTGGAGTCTCTGACTATTGTGTTGCCTTTTCCATTCTCTGTATAATTTTACCAGTGAAATGTGATCTCCTGTTGCTAGAGATGGTAGACGGGATGCCACAGGTAGGGAAGATTTGTTGCAGGAACCCTTTGCCAACTGATGTTGCTGAGGCATTTGGGCAGGGGAAGCCTCTCTTCCCATTTAGAAAACAGGCAGACAGTGGTGAGAACATACTGGTAGCCTCTTGCTTTTGGTAATTGGATAAAATCTACTTCCTGGTGAAGAAAGGCCTGAGGGGGAGCTGCCTCCCTTCTTGCCCCACTTTTACTTATATTTCTGGCAGTTGAGGCAAGTGAACTGCTTGAGCCAAATAAAAGCCAAACGGTCCAAACTACTTTTTACCTAATATATCTTGCATCCTGTCCTTTCTGTATGAGTTATGTTGTGTAAACCACATGCAATGACTCGAGAGAGATATTAATACTTAAGGGATATGAAGCAGACATCTTGGTGATTCCAAAGTCCATCTGAATGGCTTGAATAGACAGCTTTTTCCCATCCAAATTCTTTCTGAGTCTGAAGCTGTTATCTGGGCCATGTGGACCTCTTTTATGATTTTCTTAGGAGTCATTCTTCTTTAAAGGCTAATTAATTTGGCTGCGCTGGGTCTGACTTGCAGCAGGAGGGATCTTCAATTTTTGTTGCGGCATGCAGGATCACTTGTGTCATGTGGAATCTAGTTACCCAACCAGGGGTCGAACCCAGACCCCCTGCATTGGGAGCATGGAGTCTTAGCCACAGGACCACCAGGGAAGTCCCAGGAGTCCTTCTAAATTAGTGCTGTTCCTTGAGGGAAGGTAAATAATCCCCCTCGGGTCTAGGGCCTCAAAGAGGGATGCAGGGGGCACCATTCCAAAGCATGGAAATGGCTTAGATTTTTTTGGTGGTTGGGGAAGATGCTGCTAATTTATCATATTTATTGTACTTTATCTGGATTTTTGTATGCTATGTCTTTCAGTTTTAACTGTCATGATCTGCTGGGGTAATAACAATACCTTTAGAAGTTCTGCTATTTGGGGCACGTTTTTGACTAGGGTACCAGCTACTGTCATGAATCTTCTGTTTCTAGCATATACCAAAATCAAACACTAATCCAAGTTGTAGTGGCTATCAGCATAGATGTTAACCTTCATTCCTTCTGCTCTTAGGCAAGCCCAGGTAAGAGCAATTAACTCAGCTATGTGGGCTGAACTGATGTTTGGCAAGCCTCGAGATTCTAGAGGTTTATGTTGATCAGTGATGGCCTGTGCAGCCTGGAAGGCCTCATCTTCCTTCCAGAGGTAGGAGCCATTGACCTGAAGAGTGAGGTCAACTTGGGGGAGGAGCTTTTCTGATAAATCTAGCCTAGGACAGAACAATGATCTAGTGTTAATGACACAGTCAAGGGATGTCCCATCAGTGGATAAAGGAAGCAAGAGAGCAGGGTTAAGGCTTTGACTTGGATGTATACTAATGTGAGAAGAGAGAGTAGTAGGGAGAGAGTAGCTTTCTTTTTTTTTTTTCCATTTATTTTTATTAGTTGGAGGCTAATTACTTTACAGCGTTGCAGTGGTTTTTGTCATACATTGAAATGAATTAGCCATGGATTTACATGTATTCCCCATCCCGGTCCCCCCTCCCACCTCCCTCTCCACCCGATCCCTCTGGGTCTTCCCAGTGCACCAGGTCCGAGCACTTGTCTCATGCATCCAACCTGGGCTGGTGATCTGTTTCACCCTAGATAATATACATGTTTCGATGCTGTTCTCTTGAAACATCCCACCCTCGCCTTCTCCCACAGAGTCCACAAGTCTGTTCTATACATCTGAGTCTCTTTTTCTGTTTTGCATATAGGGTTATCGTTACCATCTTTCTAAATTCCATATATATGTGTTAGTATACTGTAATGGTCTTTATCTTTCTGGCTTACTTCGCTCTGTATAATGGGCTCCAGTTTCATCCATCTCATTAGAGCTGATTCAAATGAATTCTTTTTAATGGCTGAGTAATATTCCATGGTGTATATGTACTACAGCTTCCTCATCCATTCGTCTGCTGATGGGCATCTAGGTTGCTTCCATGTCCTGGCTATTATAAACAGTAAAAATATGGAACGCTTCACGAATTTGCGTGTCATCCTTGCGCAGGGGCCATGCCAATCTTCCCTGTATCGTTCCAATTTTAGTATATGTGCTGCCGAAGCGAGCACGAGAGTAGCTTTCATGAGAGCTAAGTCAAAAT